CGGGCGCCGGCTCGTGGGGGATCCCCGGGCGGCCGCCTCCTCCCGGGCGGGCTCCTTTTCCAGCTGAGAACTCGCTGCAGTTGCGCTTTCTAACGAGGAAATAACGTGCAAAACCCGGGTCTCCCTCAAGGCAAGCCCCAGAGGCAGCATTTCAGCACCGCTTAGCGAGCGGCTTTGACTTCTTCCTGTAGCATCCCAGTATTGACCAGACTCGGGTATTTTCTTTGCAAAAGAAAAGCTAATTCCTGAACCAAAAAGTGCAGCGATTCCCTGACAAAAGGGAAGGGATTTGGCAGGCTGGGTCATTGGGGTAACAGCGATAGAGCTGTGATGCCCTGGCCTCTTCTGAAACATCTTCTGCAAGTGTGCAGGGTTTCACCCGCATCAGGGCTCCCTGCAGGCTTCGTTTCCTCTGTCCCTAATCGATATCTTGAAGTGTCCAAGAGGTTTGGGGCCTGCGAACTTGTCCACTTTTTCTGATAGTATCTTGTATTGGGACTTTTTGTATTAATCTTGATAATTTTTGCATGGCTATGTAACTAGATCACCAGGGCAGCCATTAGCACCAAAAAAAATTATATAATAATAATAACTTTATCAGTCCCACTTAACAGTGGACACTACTGAGCATCAGAGCAGTAACGAATTATTAAAACAGAGCAAATTCTCTTTGAATGGTGATCAAGCCTAAGTGACCCAATGATCAGGTCATAATCTTGGGAGTTTATGGGCCTTTTGGGTAGCAGAGCAGGGAGCATAACCCATGATGTTAAAACCACAAACCCACATATTGCACTCTTATTACTCCCTAAAGAATACCCAAACATATTACTGGGCAAACCTCTCTCTCTTCTAGGAACCAGCTTTGAGACTCTTTTTTACAGTATGTGCTGGCACTTGTTAAAAGTAACCCAACCTTAATAACGGTGTTCAGAACATCATGTTAAATCTAATTTGCTTAATGATCAACCAAGTGTACAGATATAGGGGGGACCCTCTAAAATACCCACATATGCTGAGCTTGTGTGAGATTGAACTAACTGAGCTTCAAAATTCCTGTTCATTCATTATACTCATTAAGAATTATGGATACATAATGTATATAATGTTGCGTGATAGATTTGTACCGTCATGTATCTTAATAGAAAGCGGTAAGCTTGGCTTGGACTTGAGCCTTTGAGCTTTCCTCCTTGATTTCTCTGTTATGTGAATTTCCCAGGTAATATCAGTGAAGCAGTATACCAAAATAAGCAGTCTTTCTTTAAATATCTCACCACAGATTGCTTTCCTGTGATATCAATACTGAGGAAAACTTCAGGTTTGAAAGAAGTCTTTGGTTCAAAGTTCTTATACACAAAGACCACCTACTTAAAAAAAAAAATCACATCCTAATACTAGAACATATGAGCGTAAGGAGGATTTCCTGCCACTGTATGAGAAAATCTCCCTTGTTGAATGTTATCCAGTTCATCACAGCATCCACCTCATGCTTTCAAAATATAATATACTGTTTCTTCTGAATTTCCAAGTCAAGTCACCAAGGTCATGGTGACTAATTATGGGTTGGTGGGATAATTCACTAGCCATTTATGTAGGAAGAGTGTCCCATATTGCTGTAGTTGGAGGGAGGGTTGCTTTTCAATTAGCTATATAGTGGTGATTGGCAGGTAGCCCTAAGCTGTCCATAGCGTTAACATGACTTTAGAGATTCAGCTTTCAAAAATACTTACCTAGTTTGTGTGGTCACTAGAGCAGAATACGCATTGCTGCCTGAGAAGTTACTAGCTAGATGCATAATCACCATTATTATGCAAAAACTGGAGAGAGACCCCAGATACAGAAGGAGGGTGTTAGCCCCATGGCAGCTTTAAGTCCTGTGACGAGTTTAGGCCTTTGTGCTTGGCGTGGCACCGGCATTGCACCCAGGAGAGCCAGGACATTCCCAGCAACCTCGGGGGAGCCCAGAGCAGGCAGCACTCGGTGCTCCTCACAGCACTGAGTCACTTGTGGCGTCGCTGCTCACGTAGCTTCAAAGCAATAAAAAAGCAACAAAGCAATAAAAAAGCAACAGCTATTTGGTGTGGTACACTCACCTGCTCGCCACCAGAGAATGCCACCATATCCTCAGTCCTGTGCTCATGAGGCAGGTCCATGCTCAGGCACTTTGGAAAACCTCTAGGTGCTGTGTAATGACACTTTCTTTTCTTCTATATTACAGATCCAGAACGTGTAGAGCATTTTATTTTGTTTTGATCGCTCAGCCTCAAAGACTGCGAACATGGCACTGGAAGATATCCACATGAACACCCAGGACTTGCTTGAAAAGCAACAACTGGATGCTGGAGGGTTTGGAACAATTTCTTTGTGCTTTCACAGGAAACATGGATACGTAGTATTAAAAACAGTGTACACAGGACCTCAGCGCACAGAGTAAGTTACAAAATGAATTTTCGTTCGGATTTATATTCTTCAGGTAGACTAAATAATTTTTTAAATCCAGTGGAGATAATCTTAATAAAGTGTTGCTGTTTCAAATCTCTGCATCAAGGAAATACTGTCTATGGGGAAAATGATGTAATACAATACTAGCAGCTATCCTGCAAATTTTCTTGTTTTTTTTTCCTCACAAGTCAACTTTTCAAGTGTTTTGCCTCATGATGAAGTTTCTGTTTTCTTTTGTAATGTGAGCACTGTTGGTGTGAATTGTTAAGAATGGAGGGAGCTCTTGAAGGCCTAAGGAAATGGAGGAACTCAGTAGGTACAGGTTTTTTTTAAACTTGCATGTTAATTTTCAGTACAGTTATGCAAGTGCAGTACAGTAGGAAGCAAGCATGAGTCATTAGGAGATGCCAGACTCCTTGAGCTGGAGCGTGAACCAAACCCCAGAATTGAATTAGCCGTTGATTTTAGTGGATTCAGGTCAACTTCTAGCTCTACTACCTCATACACATAACAATCCTAAAACTGTTCCATAAGTTTGAACAGAGGAAGGTGAATTAAGAGATTCTGGTAGACCACAGCACTTAAAATGGACAGTTTTTCTCCTCAAGCCTGCTAGATTTTTTTGTTGTTGTTCTCTTTTTGGTTTGCCTTGCCTTTTTTTTTTATTTTTATTTTTTTTTGTTTTTTTTACTGTCCCCCAGTTCTTAAATCTGTTACTCCTTAAAGCTTTGGAACAAAAGGCTTAAACGAGCACAGACCGAATGACCACCTTCTTGTCCCCAGCAGTAGAAAGCAGTTTCCTTTTTAAGTCCCAGGGCAGGGAAGCATTAGTAAGCAGCACAGCTGAGATTTTACTGCTTCCTCTTGCATCTAGCTCAGCAGTAGTAACCAGAGCAGCACCCGTGTGAAGGAATGGGCACAGCCCTGTTTCGGTACCTTTGGTGGGCTCCTAGCTTGGCTGTTGTGAGAATTAATGAGTTGTGCTGAGGCCCGGGGAGCAGTTAGGCTTCGAATTCATTTCCAAGCAGTTCACCTTAGCACAGGCTGCCAGTATCCAGGGCAGTGGGTGGATCTCTGTGTGATGAAACCGTTTCGAAAGTGAAAATAGATACGAGCCCTTCGGGAAGGAGACATTTCTTTGTGCTTGCCTGTACAAGACGTAGCGGGTCTAAGAGTAGAGTTTGTTTTGATCCTGCTTTCCGACGGCACTTGCAGCCTTCCCTGTCCATTCTGCCACCGCAGGGATTGGATGCTTCAGGGATCCAATCCGTGCAGTCAGGGATTTGGATGCCCCCAGCCAGCAGCACGCATACGCAATGCGTGCTCTCTGATGAGCAGCCCCAGTGCAGAGCTGCCCAACACAGGTCCACAGGGATCCTCTCTACGAGGCATCTGGGAAGACGCTCAGAAATGTAACCTGAAATAAGCAAAGCTGTACTAGTTGAAAACCAGCTGAAGGCTTGGTTCACCTTACAGTGGCTCTCAGGATGTTGACAATTTTGACTGTTATTTTCATTATAAATCAACAGCTTTTTCCTTCCTATGTTCTTTCCAGCCTGGCACCTATGTGTGGTATAATTTCTGTTTTACAGATACAATGCTTCCCTCCTTGAAGAAGGCAGGATCATGCGTAAACTGCAGCATGACCGGGTGGTAAAGCTACTAGGTATAATTTTGGAAGATGGAAACTACTCACTTGTAATGGAGTATGTGAACCGGGGAAACTTGATGAAAGCTCTACAGAAAGTGAGCAGTAAATGGAATCGTTAATTATCGAATACTCACGCTACGTACGGTTGATGTGTGAAGGAGACAACATGTTGCCTCCACCTCCAAGGGGTGGAGGCTGTAATCTCTGCCCTCTTTTCCCTTCTGAAGGGCCCCTGGCAGTGCTGCTGTCTCTAGACAGCCGAGGACGATGGCTGGGGCTCTCGTGTCCAACATGGTGGAACAGACCCCAGTTACAGAGTTCAGCATTGTAGAGGGTTTTTGTGGAGAGGTTTGGGGAATTTGTGATGTAAGAAATGTGGGGTGGCTCTGGATTTATGTTGATGTAAGAACTTAAGGTACAAGAAGGACCCTTGTTCTTTTATATTACCCTGGCTTGATTGAGACTGAGAAAGACTCTTGGAGAGAGATTGAGAGGGAAAAAAAAAATTATCTTACTGTTCTTTAATAGCTGTAGTGGCTATAGCAGCATGTTTTTTAATGGACGGTGTTTTTTTTCTTTATTTTAGCTCTCCATGCCTCTATCAGTGAAAGGGCGTTTTGTGCTGGAGATCACAGAAGGAATGCTTTACCTACATGAGCAAGGCCTAGTACATAAAGACCTAAAACCAGAAAACATCCTTGTGGACACAGACTTCCACATTAAGGTAAAATGAAGAAAGGTGGCGTCCTGGTTAAAGAGCCCGGTTCAGCTACAGTGGTTATTATTCCTGATTCACAGATGAACTCCTGTAGTCCAGCAAGCTACTGGTAAGGCAGTGTTAGCAGTGGCCATTGGAGTTGGCATCCTACACAGCCTCTGAGCCTTCCTCTTGCATAATCTGCTCTGGCTTCCTTTCTTCCCCCATCTGTTAAAAAAAAATCAGGAGGGGTACTAAAAAAGAATGAATAAAGCTGTTGAGAATTAATGGACTACAAATAGTAAAACAGCTAAGAAGAAAAAAACCCACAAACCTTAACACACAGTGGTTGAACCAAAGAAGATGTCTTAATGATCATGTCTTTTGTCCTCTATTGCAGTAATTTCTCCTCCTGCCTTTACCTTCTTCATTTTCTTTCTTTTGCCTATTACCTTTTCCTCTTTTGTCTCCCTCTTTTTCTCTTAGTCCTCATTATTAAATGGCAGCCACCAGCTACAAAAAAAGCAGCAGGAGATTCCTTCAAAGAATGATTTATAAACCTGTTCCAAAGCCCTTCCATTAACTTCAACGGGCTTTTGGATCAAGACTCATACATGTAGACCCTACTGCAGAATAAACCAGAGTAAAATTTGCAGCAGTCCTCAGCAAATGTCCTGTCCCTGGTCAAGGTGAGTTGCTGAAGTAAACACCCCGTTACAATATGAACCTACTGAATGAATTCCCTTGATTTCTTATTTCTTGTGGATAAAGTAGTGACAAGTGATATGACAAGGTTAAGATGATAACAGATGATAGTGATGTATGAGCATCTTGTAGATAAGAGAGATAAGCTGTATTACATTTTGGGGGGAAAAAGATAAGCTCTTTATGCACTTTTATGGACTTTTTCTTAGTTTCCAGCTTGCTTACATGCACAAAATCAAACTATCCTATCATTATATTGTTTGGCAGACTGAGCTGGAATCCTGGAATCCAGGATCAAATTCAGAAACAAATGATACTTCCTTGAGCAACTTGATAAGTTTCCTTTAGGATAGCTGTTGGATGACCTGCCTGCTTGGATGTGTCTAACATGGTTCACATTTATAAAAGGAACCAGTTGTTCTAGGAATCTGCAGGTTTACAGAGGTTTCTCTCGAGTCTTCCTCTGCCTTATCAGGCATCCTCTCGCTTGCAGACATGAACTGGGACAGCTGCTTCCTCAAGGAAATTTAAGTTTTCCTCTTCCACTGAGCACATCACCTCTAAGTGTAAGGTTGGCCCAAAGCTTCGGAAACTAAAGAAAGAATAGGGTAGCTGAAGGCAGCAAGGTACGAGAAATATGGTAAAGAAGTAAGGCAGGGTGTCACCCCTCTTGTATCCGAGTTAAGACTGGGTTACATAACTAACTCAATTTAAAAGCATCCAAGAGAGACAGGCACTTTTTTTCCATTTTGTCTGTCCTGCTGCCCTCCTGTTCCCGTGTGTTAGCCCTGGTGGTGATCTGACCATCCCTGTGTCCTTGCAGAATGCAGGAGGCTGAAGCAGTGGCTGCCGCCTGCCTTCTGCTCAGTGCCACCCCTCGAGTGGGCAGCACGTGGCTCCGCCAGCTCCTTGTACCGGCCCTTCTCCGGGCCCAGAGGTGTCAGTGCTGTAAGTGCAGGCGCAACAGGAGCACGTGGCAGGAGGCCATGGGGGAGGCAGGGAAGGATTAACCCCCTTCAGCATCAGTCGTTCGTCTACTTGCTGCACCTGTAAGGATTCAATAAAGCCACCTTGTCAAGCCCATGGTATCCAGATACTCCTGCTTTAGCTTATTCCACCTCCTAAGTTATTCCATCAACTTGCATGCTTTTTCATGTCTCTTTGGCAGACATCAGACAAG